ATCATCGTCACAGAGAACTGTATCACCAAGTATAACCGAGTGAGGACTGATATATCGTTATAATTTTTTATTGAAGATAGATTATTTTTACAGAAAGGCTTGAATCCGGGTTCTTCCATTAATTTAATTTATTGTACGATCATCCAGATTAAAATTTTTAATTGTTTCTGACGTTTCGGCTACCTATACGACAGCCATTATCAAAGACGTATTACAGTTACAAAAAATTTTACAGTTATAATAATTTTATCTTCCGTCAAAAAATGGCTGCCGTATTGGTAGCCGAAACGTCAGAAACAAGTATTACATTTAGTTATGTAATGAACGTGAAAATTTTAATGATAATTTTAGATTTTTGCCTTCATGTTACGATTAAAGAGGACTGCTTGGATTCTACAAGACATACGATATTCATTGAAAAGAATGGGTAAGCGTAGCCTAATTTTCAGACCGCCATTCGTTGCGATATTGAGTAACAATCTGTAATTCAGGCTAGGGTAAGCATACACTTATCATCAATGAAGGAATCGCTGGTTTTCGTACGCAGAATTGATTTGCATATTTCTGATTTACTTGTAGATAAAAGCGCTAGCAAGTCACCTCAGCTTCGAAAAATCCACTTGTTCAGGTAAACACGAAAACCTGTAGTGAATAATTTTTTTTGTGCTGTCAAACACTCGTACCCAGGGTCTGTCCTCTTGGGGTCTGCCCTCGGTCTGCCCTCGTAGACGCTGGTCACGTGATCTGCTAAAATCTAGCAGATTTCTAATTAACTATCTTGGATTCCTATATGACAATCATACAAAATGCAAATTATAAATTAAACTATAAAAATCATCCAAATATCAAATATTTATTGACCTCATCTTGGATTGCCAATTAAAAATCTGCTAGCAGATCACGTGACCAGCGTCCACCAGGGTCTTTTCTCGCCTCGCCAAGAGGAGAGACCCTGGGTACGAGGTTGTCAGACACTATCAAAGTTTTTGTGATCACATGGAGTAGGAATTTTTAAAATGTTTGAGAGAACTTAAGCCCTGGGAAAACTAGGAAAAATTGTTTCCCAGAGTGGGCAAACACTAGGAAACATCAGATGTTTCTGAATTCGTTAGGAAACATTTTTGCTTCTCGGGAAGCAAATTTTGTTTCCGCAACAATGTTTCCACGGGTGGGCAAACATGTACCCTGGTTGCCAGAGGTTCTGTATCTTTCGCCTTATTCCCGCTCGTATTGATTTTACGCGAGGCGAAGAGAACCTCTGGTGGCACGCGATACAAATCTCTCTTCCTTTGGTACAAAATTTGTACCAAGCACATGATTGGTCAGTTATAATTGGCAGTAACAGAAGTGATGTGATTGGCTAAAAAAAAACTGTTTTAAAACAGGTATAAATTTAATACAAGGCTCAAAATATTTCAAGATGGCGGAGCAAGTGGACATTTCTGAGTATATAAAAAGCAAACATGGAAACATTTGAGGAAACATCGAGAATCACAAATGTTTCCACAACAATGTTTCCTAGTTTGCCCAGGGCTTGACTTTAGCATGAAGTCAGTTTGCTTAAACATTTCCTACAAAGATTTAAATCATTATCGAAACTGACTCTACTAACCACAAGACTTTGTCTTTGAACGGTTGTTTTGTTCTACAGCGTTATTTTTGCGTGTTTAGGCATGAGATGAGTCATTTTGTGAACGATGTTCAAGGCTATATATCGAACCAAATACTTCACGTAAGCTGGCAGGAATTCTTAAATTCTCTTGAACATAATGTAAGTATGAACATGGGTTATTTACAGTAACATACATTTTCCACTTTAGAACCTCGACGTTTCGAGCGAAGGCCCTTCGTCGTGTAGTAAGTAGTCAATCTACTAACTTCCCGACGCTTCGCTCAAAATGTCGAAGTTCTGCTTGTTTTGAAACAAGTGGTTGTATTTTAATTCCCAGCTTTCTTGTTATCATTGCTACCTACACTAGCACAGACTATCCACATTAGTTTATTAACTATCTTCCAGAGACTTCAATAAAATTGAAAAGGAGGGATCCCCTTCCCCAGGGGCTTAGCCCAAACGAGTGGGGGTTCTAATAATCCGTGCGTCTGGCGGCATGGTTCCCCGGAAACTTTTTCTATTTTTAGGTCTGCAAAACGCTATTTCATGCATATTAGACACGTTTTATGATATTCTGTAAGACATAGATTTGGTATATTTTTTGTGATAGATGAAATCATTAAGAGGTTACTCCCCCAGTTTCTCCTCATTTTTGAAAAAATAACAAAATTCGTCCTGAAGAAAAGTGGTGGGATCCGGACCCTCCCCCATTGCCCCCCCCCCCCC